CATTTGAAAAAATCAACTAGTACCCTGTAGATGGTTTGTTCCGAGCCCCTGTATTTTCTGATGTAGCGGAAAAACTTTGTCAAAAATTATTTTGAATGATGCCTCAAATTTTGCGATTGATTGAAAAATAACTGAGCTAGTTGGTGCACATTTATGGTGAATCACCCTGTACTTGCATATTTCCAAGACCTCTGTGTGGAAATAAAGCTTTCATCGACAAAATATATTGCCTACTTATCTTTTTCTCTCCTGACAACTTGTATATTTGAATGATAAAAATAGGTGAAGGTATCTTTGAAGTAGTCCTGAATAATTTATAATGTGTCATTAGGTCTTTTCAAAGAATACAACAGTACTACATTTTCAGTGACATATTCAAAAAATTAATGATTCGTTTTTTTTTCGGACACCTTGTGTTTAATGATGATAGAAATCAGTATAGGTATATGTTTCAAGTGACCCTGATTCAGATGCCATCAATATTTTTTATGAAAAACCTAATATTACTTTTTGAAATATAAAGCCATTCAGAATACCTAATCAAAGTCGATCAGATAATAAAGATTTTACAGTGTTGGTGTTTGTAGGTAACCACTAGAAGCACTCAAATGTGCAACAAAATATATATGCGGAATGCCATTTCAAAAAATGTATCATTATTATGTCACACTTTTTTGGGACACTCTGTATAATCGAAATTATTTCCGGGTTTGCACCCTATGATACTATTGAAGTCTGCAAAATATCAAAATCCTGACTCAACTGATTACTGAGCTACAGAAGACGGGAGCTGAGATGCAGGACCCTGTATACACTGTATTTATGTATGGTATCCAGGTATTCAGTGAATTCAGTTATTTTTTCGAGCATTATGTTCATGTATGAAGATGATAATGCATCATTCAACATTGAAATAAACAAAATTAGCTCTTAAATCGAATGAAATTGATGAAGCACTGATGTATTCTTGGTTATACCCTCGTATACTCATTTAATGATTAATGCCAGTCAATGCGTGATATAGTTAATATTTTCCGAGATATTTTCTGATTGATCTGCTAATCTAATGATTTATCAACATCGGAATCAACAAAATTAGCTCTGAAATCGAATGATATTGATGATATCACTGATGTTTTCTTCCTTAGATCCTCGTATACTCATTAACTGATCAATGTCAGTCAATGCGTCATATAGGTCATATTTTCTGATTGATCTTATATAGTTCTGTCCATAAATATTTACCCCCTGTTGGTTCCCGAAGAGTGAAAATTATTTGCAAATTTTGTACGTTTTAATGTCGGTTTTGAATTGTTATTCGAATTTTAAAGACAAAGAAAGAATGAAACAAAAATTTTAAAGACAAAGAAAGAATGAAAGGAGTGGAGAAGTTGATTAGCACCTAATACAATATAATTTCTCAATTACTCACTTTGCTCCTCTGAATGATAATAACAACAATAGATTCAAACAATGAAAGTGAAAGTTGGCAAACGAAATAAACAATCAAAAACCGTCCATCCATGGGAAACAATGAATTCTGTTCAAGACATGTTCAAGACGAATGATATGCAAGAGTGCATTCCAATATTCAGTTTTTACGACTTCACTTTCCATTACAAGACACGGTCATGGCCTCCTAAGTTCATTAACATCGAGAAAAAAGATTGATATGGTATAATAATGCAATTAGATGAGCTAGCTGAACATTTCCATCCACTCCAGAACTGATTATATTATCAGGACACATGCATTGGTTGTATTGGTATTTCCTACTCAACTTCAGGTTCCTAGTTTTTGTCATCTTTCAACCAAGAAAAACACATTTTCAGAAATGATTTCTTTTGGAAATAAATGAAAGGATCAGTGACATAGGTATTGATGGAGATGCTATCTGATACAAGAATAGGAAGAAAACAAAAAATACGAAACAATATGAGCATTATGGAGTGCAATTAGGGATACAATTTTTTTTTCAAATGTATGTATGTACATAGGCACTGAAAAATTATCATCAGATATAGTCTATGAATTGAGTATTATTCATCATTTCTTTGAACATTATAGGGATTTCCTTTCGTGCGCTCCAAGCGATAACAAAAAAATGGTCTCCAGTGATTTGGTATCCCACACAGCTAACAACTCAAGGCATTATTTTACTTTGAAAACTGATTACATTTTCTATGTGTTCTTTTCTCAAATACCCGTGGGTATACAGTGTCTTTCAAGAATTCATGACATTACATAAGTATAGGATGGTTTTTGATGATGCCAAATTCAATGGTGATATTGGCAATGCTGCCAAATCGACAATTTTTCACATATTTAGGGCAACAGGGTATGACAACTTGGTAAATTTGTTGAAATGTCTACGAACGGTCGAATATTTCCGAAAGGGCTCTGATAAAATTTATGAAATTCGATACAGGATGGTGTTTGATCGTGCTTAATTCAATAAGTACTGATAATGGTCATGTTGCCAAATCAACAGTTCATCAGATCAGACACTACGAAATAGCCACAATGCTCAGAGTGGAATGAAATGTTGATTGATTGATTGATTAATAGCAGAATGATCAGTCAGGGTTTGAGGCCCAAAACACTGCAGCCTTTGGGCCTATTGTATTCCTGATCATGCTGTTGACTTAGGTGAACAGGTTCGCTACCTTGATGAGGTTTAGCAGCCTCTTCACCAAATCATTCTTTGAAAATGCCTCTTGAGAGTTTAGTGCTCCCAGAAGGTTGTATCTCTGACGCGCTAGTGCCTTGCACTCCAATATTACATGGGTGGCCGTTTCCTCCTCCTCATTGCATAGTTTGCATATGGGTTCGTCTCTATAGATGCCCATTTGATGCATTTGTTTCCTCAAGGGGCAGTGACCGGTTATTAGTCCCGTCACTTGTTTGATCTGACTTCTGTTCAGGCTCAGAATGTCGTTAGTCACTGTTTTGGACAGTGTTCCAACCATCAGTTTACTGTGTCTTTGTCCTGGGACATTGTTCCAGTATGCCTGATGTCTTTCTTGCATCCACCTTGCCAGCCAGCCGCGTATTGAGGTTTTGGGGATACCGAATACAGGTTCCGGTCCCATAAACAACGTCGCAGACCCTTGCCTGGCAAGAGCGTCAGCTGCTTCATTGCCTTCAATTCCCTTATGCCCTGGCACCCATTGAACAGTTACCTTGTTGTGGTTAGCCAGGGTTAGCAGGCTTTGAAGGCAATCCCAGACCAGTTTTGATCTGATTTTATTGCATGTTAAAGATTGAATGGCCGCCTGACTATCTGAGCATATGAGGATTTGTTTACCTCTATATCCTCTTACAATATTCTCTCTCAGGCATGCCTCAATAGCATGCACCTCTGCCTGGAATACTGAAGCATACCTCCCCAAGGAAGCACACATCCTGGTTCTGGGTCTATCTCCATATATTCCGGCTCCCGTGCCCTCATCAGTCTTAGAACCGTCAGTGTACCACACTAACGTGCCTTCCTGACAGTTGAAATGTTAGATGAATATAAAAAGCACGAAGTCATTTCCACACGATGTTCATAAAATGAACAACAATGGCAGATTTTGGAAGAAAAACAACCACTTTCCTAGCTAATGCCACGCAGAACATTGAATTTAAGGTGAAAAACTGGTGCAATGAAATAAACTAACCTTGGCTTGCCTAACTTTTATATATCCAACTTTCCCAATTTGAAGGATCAGAATTACCTGTGGAAAGGTTCGATAATTCTTCATTTTCGGAAAATATGCCCAATATCAATATTAAAATACGGTGTACCGGATTAACTTGAAAGGGTTAATAGCAAATACATATTATTACCTACTAAGAAAACAAATTGATCGTTGAGTAAAATGTTAGAATTTTTTAGTTTGTTGATTTCTAATGATTCAAAATGATTTTTTTTTCATTTATTTTCTACGTGTAGAATATCGGAATTATCATCAAAACCATGGGTTTCTTCTAATATATGGTTGGCGTATATTGAATTTGTTTTCTCTCTCAAAAAATTCATCTTATGTTCATGAATGCGCTGGTTAAACGTACGTCATGTCTGACCAATATATAGATATATCGATAAATCCTGAGGAATATATCGGTCTTACGTTTTATCAGCGCATTCATGAACATAAGATGAATTTTTGAAAAAGAGAACAAATTCAACATACGCCAACCATATATTAGAAGAAAACCATTTTTGTACTTAGAGATCAACTAGACCTCAATAGTTCACCACTGTTGAATTTGTTTTCTTAGTAGGTGATAATATGTATTTGCCATCAACCCTTTCAAGTTAATCTGGTACATGCACCAAATTTTAATGTAGATATTGTACCTATTTTGTGAAAATGAAGTTTTATGGAACCTTTTCACAGGTAATTCTAATCCTTCAGGTTGGGAAAGTAGGATATATAAAGGCTAGGCAATCCAAGGTTAGTTTGTTTCATTGTGCAGTTTGTTCACCTGATGAAGCTACAGTGTTAAAGCGAAACGTCGTGTGAATAAGAATTTTGTGGAAATATTATCGTTTGGGAAATGTTTTCAGTTTCATATGCGTTTTCTTCCAGTTGTTTATTCATGTTATTCACTTCTTCATCACGATAAACCAAAATTTCATTGAATACGGATTGACATGCTTGAAACCTGTTCGTTTCTGCTGGGCATACGTAATGAACATGATGAGCAAATATCAACCAAGCCGAGAAACTGTCTTTTGATTACGTGATCAAATTTTGGTATTGGATTCACGGAATTATTATTACATATGACTTCATACAATCCGAAGCAATTGTTGAAACAGTCGAAAGAAAGCAGGCATATGGTAGAAAGTAAAAGTATATTAAACCCACTTGATGCTCGCAAATTTATGATATTGCACCCACTCGACCATGCCAAATTGGTGGTTCTTTTAAATAAACGAAATTTTCATGAAATTTCACTTCGTATCGCCAAATTAACTTTCAAAACCTATTTACTCCTACGAACTGTTCAGAGTATATTAGTTGGCTGTAACGTCATGATGAGCTGGTCGAGTGAGTATTATATTCAACATTCCACCTACAAAAATGATATCTAGTGATAATGATTCATTTCGCTAATTTTCATCATTCTATCATGTGAAATAACATTTTTTTAGGGCGGTTCTACATGAGATCAACTGATTTCGTATTCATTGATCAGGTTATTGAAATTCCAAAATCTTTGTGCATTTTCTCCTTGAAATTGAAAAAAAAATGTATATGTGAAACATCGGCAGGTTCGAAATATATATTTTTGTATCTAGTGCGTTAAATGCTACTTTGGTGATCGAGAACTGATTTTTGTAACGAGGCGCAGCCATGAGAACACGAATTTTATACACGAAATACAAACAACATATTTTTTACAACTGATGGGATGGGAATCTACCTCCGTAGCAGAAGCATATATCTATAGAAGAAAATTTGAATAACGAAATTGAGATTCCTAACCAAATATTGAATTGTCCATCTCCTTCCGAACAAATTGAAATGTCTGACAAAATTGTGGATTCAACTCTTCAAGAAATATCTAACGTTTGTTGTTTAATATGAATCCTTCATGAGGTAATATTTCAGGTTCATTTTGTGAATTATTTCGGCAGTGAAAAAAGTAAACATTCACCCATCAATAGAGATCCAGGAAAGTTTATTGACAATTGTACAAAAAAGTTTCATACTCTATAGTTGCATAACTCATATTTTTTAATAGTATAATTATTGAGTATAATCCACCTTGTAGAAGTCACTGTGTTAGTAACGAAACCTGTCATGTTTTAGAGAATTTTGTGAGAAGTTTAACCAATTGAGATATAAATGTACATAATCATAATCTTGGTTCAGCTGTTACAGGCCATTGATAATTTGATAATATTCACTCCCACATTATCCTATAATCTATAATATGTTTATTTTTGTCTGAGTCGACGTTATTGAATATATATCATATATATGATAACTATTGCATGTTCCTGATGCGTGAGTATTATATCATAATATCTAATCATTTTATCATTCTATACATATACAGGGTGAAACTGGAATTGAGGTATTCTTTCTAACAAGATATATATCTCACCAAAATAAGTTGTTTAGCATAATATTGCTGATATAAAATATTTAAGATAACGGAGGTACAGGTACCTAAAAGTATGAAGGAGACTCCAACTATGAAACATTTTGTTCACATTTTCACAAAAAAATATAAGAATGCCGTTATTGGTTCAGCATCAGATACGTTGATCAAATACCTCTTTTCAGATTTTCAACCCCTGAAGTTTCGTTTCAAAGTGATTTTTTATCATATTTTTCCTAATGAATATTAGATTGATAAAATCAGGTTTTCAAAGTACAAAACCTTGTAATGCCTCTACATCCGTTATCGTACATTATTTACATAAACAATTTTTGGTCAAACAACTCATTTTGGCGAGATGTATACCCTGTTGAATAAAAAACCTCACTTTCAGATTCACCCTGTATATGTTTATGTACCAATGTAGTCCAGAGTTTTTGCATGAATACAAAATCATGAAAATGTGTGATACTTCAGATAATTGATTGATAAAAAATGCGTAATCTTTAATCATAGAATCTGCGAGTCTTCTTGCTTATAAATGAATGATGATCATTATCGGTATGACCAATGATTTCCAATGAAGATCGAGTATAGAAATGGAACAAAATTCTGGGAAAGCTGAATATGAAATGTAATCTGGTCAGTGGTGTACTCGGAAGAAGCTTCATCGATTTTTATTTCAACAGATATCTGAATATATAACGACCTGTATTTCAATCTAAATATGAATATATTATGTTCTTCAAGCATATTATTAGATATCATATTCTCAGTAAAACCAGATTTCGAAAATATTTGAACCTTGATTTAATCGATCTGGTAACGGCTGAACAAAACATTTTGGAATGGTTTACTCCAATCATCTTGATCAATAGTAGAAGTCCATGGTATCTCAAAGTGTAGTAAACGAATGAAGTATAGTTGGCTCAAAAAATTAAGGAGGATAGACTTTTTTTCCAATAAAGAATTATGGAGATGACTGGGACTTTTTCTACTACTTCAATCATTTTAGTTTGGTCGCAGTGGTATCATTTGATCTGTATAGTAATATTTTCAGTTTGATGAAGTCAATTTTCTCTCCAGTTATGAAACTACCATTCGCCCTCGCGGCAATACTTTTGCTGCACGCCGTTGGTGCCCAAAAGAACGCCTGGTCCTGGAATGCAGAAGAAGACAGCCAGCCCAAACCATCTATCGACCTCACCGACGAAATCAAAACGCTTCAAGGGGACTTCCAAGACGACTTCCAAGCCTCTCCCAGCGAGTACTCAGAGTCTAGCGTCACGTTGAACACCACCTCCGCAGATAAAGTCATCGACGAAATTCTGAGTTCTACAAGGCAAGGCAGAGCCCTAGACGGATTCGACGAGCTTTACAGTGATCCCAATGTACAAGAGGCGCTCCAGAAGGGAGATGATGGGGAGGCGAGGAATGTTATCAAGGATCGTCTGTGTTATCTGGGTCTCATGCAGGTAGGCTAGGGTTATATACCATTCATCCTCTATTTTCGGGAAAAAAAGTAGTACTTTAAATCCTTAGGGATTCAAAGTTACTTCAAATCCCTAGGGAAGTAAAGAACATTTCTCTGCAATGAAAGCTGAATTGAGAAATGTATTTTCAAATTGTCTGTTGCAATAGTGGCTTTTATCATCGAATATACGCTCCAAAATGACGGTGCTTTGAGCTTTTTCGACTCTTCCAAGAAATAGGTTTGCAGTACCCTTTCTTCTGTACCTTCTGTTCATTTTCCTACGATCCGTTCTTTGCACCAGTTGATAAACCCAGATAACTGTTTTTTATATTGTTCTCCAAATTTTCTTGGTAATAATTGGCCTTCAGCTTCTTGAGCTGCCTTTTCGATTTGTTCCATCGCGATCAATGTCTTTCAATCGGTGTGGCGTGTTTGACTAATATTTATTCATTCATTTACTTATTGACTCGTCATAAAACAACAGGATTTTCAGTTGCCGATGACAATCATGATCTGGATCCCCATAGTTACTGAAGTCGTTGATATGGTAAAAATCAGCTCTTCCGATGATGTTCTAGAGTAACTACCATTTAGTAGCATTTAAATTATTTTTTCTTTAACGATTTACCTATCCTGAAGTGCATGAAATAGTACATACACCTCGGGACTAAAGTGTTCTTGAATCTCTCGAGAAATTATAGCCCTCCCGTTATAAACTGTGTCTAGGGAAAACGTTGTTTTTTTACGGTATAACACAAAATTGCTCTTGTTTCACTGTATTTGATACATCAATGGGGTACTTTGTATGTCATCAATTCCATTCATGTATCTGATATCACAATGACTCCATTTTGTGTAATTATTTCAAAAACATCTCATCATTCATAGAATGTCAAATTTTAAGCAATAACAACTCTTTCTGAAAGATAAGCATTACGGAATATTAATGATTTTAATTGAAATTTTCAGTGTGAAGGTGGAGAAGAAGTCGAAGGAAAACGACCATACATCTCTCCAGAAGAACTCATCTACGCCCAACCAGTCGCAATAAATCCAGTTGGCAGACCAATCCCCACCATCCCAGTGAAAGGAAACAGAGCAGGCTACGGCCCCCCAAAACCAGTCCCCTATCCATCATCTCAATTCTCTCGACCCCCAGGACCACCAGGCAAATACGGGCCTCCTAACAAATTCGGACCCCCAAACAAATTTGGCCCTCCACCTCCAAATTACCAGGGTAAGCCTCCACGTCGCCAATACGGACCAATTCCCAGTAAACCCTACTACGAGAAACCAACATTCAACGGGGAGATATACGAGAGCTCAGATTTTCTGTCCAGGCCTCCAGGCTTCCAGCAGCCCTTAGAACCTGAACTGCCCTACAAATTCGAACAAGGTGCTCATCAATCTGCTCACCACAAAGACAAGAGGGTGGAAATAACTGTGAACGCTCAAGGAGGTGCTGCTACTGCAGTCGGAGGTGCCACAAGTGGTGCCAACGCCGTTGAACACGTCCATCATCATTACCATCATAATCTTGAAGGTGCCAATAAACCCACAGTAGTAGTGAACCCGATTCCCATCGCTGCAGCTGCTGTTTCAACCTCAACTGATTTCAACTCGAACTCTTTCACTTCCTCTAGCTCTTTCGGTAACGTGAACTCTTTCAAGCCCAGCCCGAGTTTCTCTGAAGGCCTTAGCAGCTACGCAGGGTCTTCAGGATCTGGTTTGACAATTGGTGGAACCCCGGGTGCCTATGGACCAACCATCGGAGGAGGCGGACTTTCTAGTGTGAGCTTGAATGGAGGTCTGGGTTCCTCTGGATTATATAGTGGACAGAGCAGTACTTCTGGTGGTTTCGGGCAAACCATTGGGGGTAATGGATTCAGCAGTGGTACGTACGGCGGTCAATCTATTGCCAATTATGGTGCTAGCTCCTTCGAATCGGCGAAACCAGTAGTGGAAAATTATGGTCCTCAACAGTTCGATTCCTTCGGAGCTTCGGTTGGCTCATATGGGTCCTCTGGTCTTTACAAGAAGGAGTTCAATCTCAACTCTGGAAACAACAACTATCTCCAGTCGAATTACGCAGATAAATATCAAGGTGTAGAATCAGCTAGGGCAGAAAACTTCGACTGTGTCTGTGTACCTTACGATCAATGTCCAACCCATGACGTCATTGGCCGCAAAGACGATTTATATTTGCCGCTCGATCCGAGGAGCTTGAAGAGTGATATTGAAGCTATTGTCGATGAAGAGCGTGTTATAACTGATGGAAATGGAACAATGACAGTTGTAAGAGTTGCTAAAGATACTGGTTTGAATGGTACTGTAGCAGAAACGGACGATAAAGTGGAAGAGAAGAAGATTAGTAAACGAGAGGCTCCTGTTGAGAAGGAAAAGGACAACAAAGAGGCAGAAGGTGTAAGTATTCTCATTAAATTCATTGTACATAGGTTTCTGCCAACGTGATTTCATCCTAATGGCATTTTTGGTCAGGTGAATCATTTAACATTTCAGCTGCTGCAACCTCATTCAGAAAGAGAAAGTGGAAATCTTATCGTGTTAGAAGTTCTTCTAATTCAGTCAAGTAACGGTCCAGTTATAACAAGAAATCTTGGGATATTATTTGGTGATGGTTCAATTCAACAAATCCTCAAATCATTGATACAGAAATTATTTGGTGACTTCTTTTGAACCCTCTACCATCCAGAGAATATTTATTCAGGGATTGATCATACACATTACTTCCGCAAGAAAAATACTCCAATACTTCGTCTTCAGTGTTTGCAATACCACTAGAACACAATTATCCAAAGCGTACTTTGAAATTGTAAATCATCCGTACTGACTGATCGATCATTTCATCTCGATGTTACAGTATATGGATGTTAACTCGAACATGTGCCTAATAATACTAATCATTAATACCTGAAGATGCTCTCATGTATTCGACTGTTTCAGACATGGAAGTGACATACTGATGGTACCCGCCACCGCCTCTTAAAAAAACTAAATTACTAAATTTTCGTAGACATTTTAACACGGTACTGGACGATAACTAGGAGAAATACGATGAATTACATTCAGGTGAATTTTTGCAGCGCCAATTCGGATCTGCCGCCTTTGACATGAAGAAAATCAAACCGACATTCGGCATTTCTTTCGGCCTACCACAACAAGGAGGCGGTGGATATCCTGTCAATCCCCACGGTCCCAATCCCTTTTTGAACCCTTACGGTGGCACCGTCGGAGCAAGTGGAATAAACCTCGGTCTGGTATCGGTGAACCCTTTGATATCTCTCCAAGTGACCAAGGACGACTATGGCAACAAAGAACTGAAACCATTCGTCAATTTGCATGTCACTCCTAACAGCTATCTCGTGAATAAATTCGAGGATTTATGGTCGTACAAGAAAGCTGTGGTATTCAACAAGCATAAACACTATCATGTACACAAAGGCCATCCCCATCACTATCCTTCTTACCCGGAAGTATTCCGCGAGCACCCTCATGAATTCGAATATGGTCCTCCGGGTCCACAATTCGAAACAACCTACCCCCACTTCACTGGTCCTTCACCACACGAGCACGGTCCTTCGTTTGGAGGACATGGTCCTGCATTTCCAGAGCACGGTTCCCACTTTGAAGGGCATGGACCATCTCAATTCTATCCTCAGAGCAATTTTCCTGGACCGGAATATGAAGGTCCTGGTAACTTTGACCATCATGGTCCACACTCATACTTTGACAACCCCTTGAACTATGGAGGTGGTGAATATGAAGGTCCCCAGTTTGGCAGGGCATATAAAAACATCTCTGACTATGTTGCTGGTAACAGCTTGCTGGATCAGTATCAGCAGCAGTATGATGGTGGTGTCAATAATTATGCTGCTCAAAATGGTCTCAGTTTCGATCAGAGCCAAAGCAACTCTTTCGATGATTATTCTAGTTCCGACAAGCTACTGTTTGGAGATTCTTCGAATCATAGAGGTGGTAAGAGTCTCCAAAGTGATTCATCCTCTTCCAAACCTATCAAATTCCCTTCCAGCAGAAAAAGACGCGACGTAAAACAAAATGACAATGGTAAAACTATCACCAAGGTAAAACACATTTTTTCGACAATTTCAAATCATTCCTAATAATCTTCATATACATCACACAGTCATCACAATCGTACTTTATTGAATCATATTATACTATATTCATAGTAGTTCTGTATGTTGTTCTACATAGACTGTCTCATTCTTACCAAGAATTGGAATCGATCTGAAATATCCGTGAAGCTTGACCTAACCTGACTTTTTTTTGATCTCTTGGAGCTCACTAGAGGAATTCCTATAATGTTCGTAGAACATCGTGCTTACCTAGAGAGGATAAGGAGAGGACGCAGGTCAAATCCCTGTTAGATTCTACCTACCTCATTTCTCAGTAGCGCGATCTGGTAAACAGTCAAATGAATAATGTTAGTCCTCATTGTGACCATTTCACTAACTTGGTAGCAACTGTATCAAATGTTTATAATCAGCAGTGCTGTCGCAGCACGCTTTGAAAATGTGCCTCAATTCTGTCAAAACAAGTTCTTCTATCGTGCAAAGTGCGAACTTTGATTTGTTCTTGCTCGTCATGTGAACTTATGGAATCAAAGAAGTTCGATTTCGAGTTCGCTCTATGATTGGCTCACTCTTCAATACCTTTAATCCTTAGATCACAGGTTCCCACTGTTCATGCACTGTTCACAAGCATAAAGTAAATGTGTTGCCGTCACTTATCACTGTCACGTTTATGTGCTCCATGTCTACAATGCCTTATATGGCGAGTTCACATGCCAGCTTATGCCTACAGCAGAAAGCTTGAATAAAACGGGCGCACTGTTCACATGAGAAAGTTGGAAAAGTGACAGTGACTGCCACATATTTGGTTAAATTTCAGATGTACGTCCTCCAGAAACCACATTCATCACATTTTTAGAAGTGTTTTTCCAGTACTGTTTCCCACACTACATAATATGATGATATAGCACCAATATGTATTCATTTTGTCAATATTTGTGTGGTCCTGTCAAACGATCTGGGCTTTTTTCCGCAAAAGTCGGACTGAAACCGACTTTCTAGCTTATGACCTCGATAAGCGCTTTCTGACGAATCGGCCAATGAGATGAGGATACGCTGTAAGTCAAAAGGCGAAAAGCCAGCATGTGAACGCGCCATTATGTTGAAGAATACGAAACATACAGAGTGATCCCTTTGAAAGCGGACCACCCTCACAATTTATTCCATTAATGAAGCGATTTTGACGACTTATTTTTATGTGGAGCTGAGCGGCGTCAACCTTTTATAAAAACAAAGGCTTACTAGATCATATTCAGAGACTGAATATCCATAATCCATATCAGCGATATTAGATTTCATAAGGAAATTCGTGAAAATCGCTGCAGAAATAAAACATGTATAAGGGTGACCCACTTTCAAATGTCACCACTGGAGTCAACACACAACACGTGCTTTCAGTGCAATTCTTACTGTTTTTCAAATAAGGAGTATACTACCCAATGAAGCCATTAGTATTGTGGTAACAAGTGCAATAAATAATACCGGGCCCGTATTTATAGTCGGTCCTTAAGGTGACCTCGTCCTTTGAGGCATCCTTAAGGACCAGTTTCTTATTTCTCAAGTAGATGTCAATTCCAAGGAAGGTAAAGAGGTACCTTGAGCATTCCTTGATCCAATTGAATACCATTAATAGAAATTGAATGTAGTAATCAAATGAATATTCAAGTCTTGAAAGTACAGAGACTCTGATTCGAGTATATCGATTTCCGGTAGAACCTAATTCAAGTTGAAAAGTAAATCAAAGAAAAAAACAAAACACTAAGTCGGTCGACCACAAAGTTTTTATTTTAAGTACAAAAATTTTACTTTTTGTGACTTGTTTTGGCTCAAACAGTTTTGAGTGAGGGTACAGTACCTGTGAAGATATTGGTTGTCTGAAGATGGCTGTTTGAGCCGAAACTAGTCACAAAAAGTAGAATGTTTGTAATTAAACTTTGTGGTCGACTGACGACTCAGTGTTTTGTTTTTTTTCTTTGAAAAAATCTGGACCACTTTGACTATGACTTGAAAAGTAAATCTTGTTTATTCCAAATAATAGGTATATATTACATATAATCACAATTATATATAGGTAGGTATCATCTTGATCAGTTGTTCATGGAATTGAAATACATACTTCTTCAATGAATAACCACACAAAATCACAGATTCATTCGAAGTATTCAATATGATTCAATCAAATGAATATTTTTCCTCTCCCTGGCATAATATTCCCATTACAACTTGAAAGACTCCGTTTTCGATAGAGTAATTTTTGTATTGTGATTTTCCAACATCGTCATCGATAAACTCTTCGACCCTTTCTTCATTTGGGGAAACTTGGATAACTTTTGTCTGTGATCGAAGTGATATATTGTTAGGCCCAATTTGAACAAACCTTCGAAGATTATCACTGGATTATTAGAATCATTCGATGTCCACACCCGACAGTAAAAACTGCCAAATTTGACATTTTTAATTTTGTGACAAACACGTGACATGAAACAACAAATTTGGTCATAGAACACTAAAATTACACACGGTTGCCAAGTGTAAGGGCTCCTTTCAGAAGGAATACTCAAGGGAGGTTTATGAAAAAAGGTTCAACGTCAAGTACTGAGGAGTCCTCAAGGAATCCTCAGATAAGGAAGACTTGAGGAGTTCTTGAGGAAACGACTATAAATACGGGCCTAAACGGCAGCACAATCGACCTCTCATAATATGTTCGATATAAGTTCTGATCAAAAACCAATTTTGATGAGCGACCTCTTCCTTCCAGCGCCAATTCGGCGGATTCGGAGGTCGTCCCCAGACGTGTGGCCCTAGGCACGTCTGCTGCAGGAGGCCTCTGCGACCCAACGTGCCCCAGGTGAACAGGCAGTGCGGAACCAGGCACTCGCAGGGCATCAACGGCCGCATCAAGAACCCCGTCTACGTGGATGGAGACAGCGAGTTTGGAGAGTATCCTTGGCAGGTGGCCATCCTGAAGAAGGACCCCAAGGAGAGCGTGTACGTCTGCGGTGGGACGTTGATTGACCCCTTGCACATCATCACGGCTGCTCATTGTGTGAAAACGTAAGTGAGTCCCAGTAATGAGAATTTCCTGTGGGTTGGAGAAGAATCATTACTGTTCTCGTATCGGGTAACGAATACAAAACGCTAGTGAAAAGTACTCAAATAGTAGATTGTTTTATTAGGATCAAAAGTGACACTTTGTTTGACAAGCGAATTCTGCATTTGCGAGGCGGAGCCTTCAGCGAAGCCGAGCAGATACACTGGTATTGATTTGAGAGTGTGACACTATGAGAGTTGGACGTTAATTCCACGACGTTGAATTTACTCAGACCATAGATTAACGACTCGGGGAGTCGTTAATCTATGCCCATACATTGTTTTCGGATCTATGGGGTTACTCTATTGCTTCTGTCGAAACCATATGAGAGAGTACTGGATTTGCAGCTCGGTAATATTGGCTTCCCATATTGATTTGATTTCTTCTTCCACAGATACACTCTGGTTTTGATTCGAGAGTACGACTAGGAGAAGGGAACGTCAACCACGACGTCTAATTTCATCCCTACATTGTTTTAGCTTCAACAGGATCATTCTATTGTTTCTGTCAAAACCATCTGAGAGAGTACTGGATTATCAGCTCGGCAATCTTGGCTTCCCATATTGGTTTGATTTTCCCTTCCACAGATACACTGGGATTTGGGAGTACGACTAGGCGACTAGAACGTCAACCAAGACGTGTAATTTCATGCCTACATTGTTTTAGCTTCAACAAGATCATTCTATTGTTTCTGTCAGAACCATCTGAAAGAGTACTGGACTATCAGCTCGGCAATCTCGGCTTCCCATAATGATTTGATTTTTTCTTCTACAGATACACTGGTTTCGATCTGAGAGTACGACTAGGAGACTGAAACGTCAAGCGCGACGTGTAATTTCACCCCTACAATGTTGTATAGCTTCAATAGAACCATTCTAATGTTTCTGTCAGAACCATCTAAGAGAGTACTGGATTATCCGATCGGCAATCTTGTCTTCCCATGATGATTTGATTCTTTCTTCCCCAGATACACTGGTTTCGATTTGAGAGTACGACTAGGAGACTGAAACGTCAATCACGACGTGTAATTTCACCCCCACATTGTTTGTAGCTTCAACAGAACCATTCTATTGTTTCAGTCGAAACCATCTAAGAGAGTACTGGATTATCAGGTCGGCAATCTTATTGGATTCCCATAATGATTTGATTTCTTCTTCCACGAATACACTGGTTTCGATTCGAGAGTACGACTAGGAGACTGGAACGTTGTCAACCACGACGTGTAATCTCACCCCTACATTGTTCAAGCTTCGACAGGATCATTTTATTGTTTCTGTCAAAACCATCTGAGAGAGTACTGGATTATCAGCACGGCAATCGTGGCTTCCCATAATGATTTGATTTCTTTTTCCACAGATACACTGGTTAAAATTTGAGAGTAGTTTGAAGCTTCAACAGAATCATTCTATCGTTTCTGTCAGAGATATCTGAGAAATTATTGGATTATCAGCTCGGTAATCTTGGCTTCCGATAATGATTTGATGTTTTCTTCCACAGATACACTTGTTCCGATTTGAGAGTACGACTACGAGACTGGAACGTCAACCACGACGTATAATTTTACCCCTACATTGTTTTAGCTTCAACAGGATCATTCTATTGTTTCTGTGAAAACCATCTAAGAGAGTACTGGATTATCAGATCGGCAATCTTGGTTTCCCATAATGATTTGATGTTTTCTTCCATAGATACACTGGTTTCGATTTGAGAGTACGACTAGGAGAATGGGACGTCAACCACGACGTGGAGTTCTACCCCTACATCGAGCGTGACATCGTCAATGTGCACGTCCATCCGGAATTCTACGCCGGCACGCTCTACAACGATATTGCAATCCTCCGCATGGACAAACCGGTCGACTGGTCAAAACACCCCCACATAAGTCCGGCCTGTCTGCCCCACCCCCAAGACGACTACAGTGGCTCCAGGTGCTGGACCACGGGCTGGGGCAAAGACGCGTTCGGTGATTTCGGGAAGTACCAGAACATCCTCAAGGAGGTAATGATGATGATGATATTTAATTGTCTGCCATTAGAACAAAATAACAAAGAACCCCGCACCATTTACATTGAAATCTTGTCTACGGTGAGATTTCGTAAAAACCTAGGATTGGATAGATCAAATCATGCTGAACAAGAAATGTCTCTTGGTCCGAGGTCCGTTATGCCCGTTAAAAAAAGTTATAAGTTCTTGGAGCCAAACGAGATAACCTCTACCAGAACAGCACATCCTGTGTATTATAAGGTTTTTTGATTTGACATATATTGGACATTCATGTTATGTCAGTAAAAGTCATTGGGCAGAAGCGTATTACTTTGTTCAAATACGTTGCAAGTCTCGACCGGGGACTATTAGTGGCTTTTCCGTATAACGTAAACCACCAATCAATGGTCGCAATGTTATACCATCAGCGTTGACATGTTCCCGACAAGATTGGACATTTCCAGGGATGAAATTATTATTTTCAATATATACATTGACACTAGCAACTAATGATAGGTGAAGTAAATTATTATTTGCACCACAAAATATGCACACTCTTGCATGGATCGGAAAGACTACATTCAGGTTCATAGAATGAACGTTATCCCGAATTCCAAGTTCCTCTATAATGGATCAATTACAGTTCAGAAATAAACGAGTACGATCGGTTAGGGGTATATTCTTTCTTCCTAGAACCTGTCGACGATGTATTGCGATTGCTTACAGCTCAGCATTTTGATCTCGATCGATGCGTGCCATAGCATTAATATTGCTTTTGCTATCGCATATAAAGCAACGAAACCTTTTCTAATTAGCCATCTTATATGTATTTGAACAAAGTAATGCGCTTTTGCTCAATGACTTTCACTGACATAACATGAATGACCATTATCTGACAACCCAAAAATATCATATTAGCCAAAACCATATTACACACAGGATGTGCTGTTCTGGTAGAGGTTATCTCGTTTGGCTTCAAGAGCTTATGACTTTTTCAACGAGCATAACCGACCTTGGACCAAAGGACATTTCTTGTTCAGCATGATTTGATTTATTCAATCCTAGATTTTTACAAAAATTTCATTGTAGACAAGATTTCAATGTGAATGGTGCGGGGTCCGTTGATAATGGGGAAGTTCGTTCCTCCAGTTGAATTTTCATGAGATAAGTTCGGAATTCCTTAGTTTCATGTCCACACTATTCAGAATGGCGATCAATGGTGTCCAGGTCGTTATTAAATTCAAAATGAAGCAATTTTTAATTTTCGTGGTGGCAAACTGGACGTACATTCTGAATCTAGTCTGAATGTAGCTTATGATGCAGAATGAAGCTAGCGAATAGCTGACAAATGAGAACCAATTTGAAGAAATAGAAGAAGACAACATGGCGTCGTTGTTGATTTTATCATGAAAAATAACGAATTAGCAAAACTACCAAAAACTGTAGACATAGGCTACAGACTGGAGGTTGAAAATCGACACAAGTAAATCTGGTGAACAAAAACATACATAACCGAATCAGATCAGGTCTTGCTGTGCCAATCAGTATTTTGTGTGGTGTGGACGGGCTCAAAGTATCATGCGCTGTTGGAAAATGTAACCTGCAACAATGCTAGCAAATAGATCCGTTTCATAAAAGAACAAGTGCATTCGAAAAATAAATGACTGAAATAAACTTCATTCAGCAAATTCTTATTGTAACGTCGACGATACTGTCCTAAACTTTGATAAGATACGTAAAGTAGTTTATCTACTCACTGCATCGAAAGTAGGCGTTTGCTCCATCACTTGAGGATACGAACCTGTCAATTTACTCCCACGAGAGAAAAATATATTACCTCTCGTGGGAGGTGAAATAAATTGGCTTCAGCTTGCTTAAAATAAAAAATGAACTCTTGAAACAAACTGACCAGATAAAATATCTTGGTATTTGGTTTGATGACAGGTTGAAGTGGGACAAACATATTGATGTTCTGACAAAAAAAATATCTCCAATTATTGGTGCATTGAGAAGATGTCCCAAACCCCAAACTTGATATTAAAATTGCAAACATGATTCTCTACTCTCATATACTGAGTCGTATCAACTATTTAATAAATGTTTGGGGATCTTGTTCAAAAAATAATTTCAATAAAATATCAACATTATATAGAAAATCGTTAAAAGTATTGTATCGTCTCCCATTTGATACACCAACCAATCAATTGTATGAAATAACAAATACGTATTCTTTAGATGAAATATATAGAATTGAAACTCTCAAAATATCATATAATATCATAAATAAAAAATTGAAGTCGAATATTATTATGATACGGAATTCTGAAATTCATAATCATGAAACTAGACAATATAACTTGTTCCATCTTGACGCCGCTAGCTCCCTAATCGGACAAAAAAGATTCACTCATTCAGCCTTAACTGAATTCAATAAAATACCTGATAATATAAAAAATTGCAGAAATATCGGTATATTCAAAAATGAAGTAAAAAAACTGATTATTTCTGAGCGGACTGGATAAAATTAATCATGCCATTTTTTTTTTTTTTTTTTTTTCTTTTTTTTTTTTTTTTTACAAATATTATTCTTTGTTTGCCAATTTTCAGTTGTTGATATATTTTGAATGATGCTATGTTTACCTATAGGTATATAATTATGTACTTCCTTATACCAGAGCCTATTCTGTCTGGAAGTTATTTGTTCAATAAATAAATAAATAAATAAATATCTCAAAATTAAAAAAATTACCTGATGATATCAAAAGTTGTACAAATATCACCCAATTCAAAATTAAAGTCAAGAAACATATCCTCTTGCAAAGAGAGAATCAAACCTGAGTAAATGATTTCTCATTCACTAATTTATTTCATCATGTCATAATGTACTTTTCATGAGCTTTTTGTTGTTGTTGAAAAGAATGAAATAAATATATTATTATTATTATTATTATTATTATTATTCCTTGGTAGAGATATACGTATAAGATCTGACGATCTCGAAATATTTCATTTCATTCTTGTACTCAATTTCTATATACCAATTTGCATTAATCCTTCCATCCATTCAGGTTGACGTGCCTGTGATCAACAGCGGAGTGTGCCAAAGGCAGCTGCAGCAGACCCGGCTGGGATACGACTTCAAGCTGCATCCAGGCTTCGTCTGCGCAGGTGGGGAAGAAGGGAAGGACGCTTGCAAGGGAGACGGGGGAGGCCCGATGGTGTGCGAGAGGGGTGGCACCTGGCAGGTCGTGGGGGTGGTCAGTTGGGGTATCGGGTGTGGACAGAACGGGGTGCCCGGGGTTTATGTCAAGGTGGCGCATTATCTGGATTGGATCAGGCAGGTTACTCAGAGATACTAGTAATAGGTTGTTTGAGCTAGTTGTATTTATTTATGTGTAGCATTTAGTTTGTATGAGTCGGTTTTTTAAATTATTGTTCGTCATTATTTAAGAAGTTTAAGTTATTTTTGTACATATGTTATGTTGTTTCATATTGTGATAGTAGAACCATATTGATGTCAACATCTTCATTGAAATAATAAATTAACTCCACGTTCCAATTTATGTATTCATTATCGCCATCTGCTTCAGCAACAAGAATTTTCGTAGAATGTGAATGACGAATGAGAATGTTTTTTTGTTGAATGGTTCCAGCAGATGGGGTGAGTTTTGTACAACAGCCTCATTATGATATTTTCGAAATACTTCAACTTGGTATTGAAATATACTCCGTTTCACTAAGATTGATTATGGAAATCTGTTGAAACTTCCACTTGCTGGAATTCACAAAGACAAAGAGCAATTAATACATAAACATCTACTCTTGGAACATTATATGTAATGTTATAGTTACATAAATGACGTATAATAGTATCCTTCAGAAAAACCATTAGCCAAACAGACAGTTCACATCAAAATATCAATACAATTCATTCTAATATAAAATTCAGCATGGAAATAGACAGAGAATTTCAATCCAGGCGCGTGCCTAGGGTAATTTCATGGGAGGGGTAATCACCCATTTCAGGACCAATATTTCCTACGTTTTAAAAAGTTAAACTTCAGTAACACTAAGGCATTCATATTTAATTCTTAAAAAAAATTAACAAAATGTTCTTTAAAACAATAGCTCGAATATGAGAGAGTGTAAAAATAAATAAACAGAATATATTTCAAAATGAAAACAATAACTCAAAAATAAAAAAATGTATAACTAAAAATAAATAACAGAATAAATATTCTTCGAAACGAAATTCCATATAAGAATAGATAAAAATGATGCACCCTAGCATAGCCAACAAAACACAATGAACGACGAACGACGAACTTATTTCGGCGTATTCCCGACTATTTCATTTCAAGTATATAATGTATTTACATAAGCACCTGCTTCGTGAATTCGGCCGTCGTTGTGTCGGCGAACAATAACAAATAAAAACCCAGTTCACTCAACACTCAACTCCATAATGCGCCACCCTGATTGCGAAATTTATAATTTAATGTTGTGACTAGAAGCCTGAAGACTAGAAGACAGGTGTGAAAGCCCATCGTTGTGTCTTCATCATCATCTTTTTTTAAGTTTGAAAATAAGGAATTTTCAAATTTTTTCATCATCATCGTGGTCATAGGGGGGGTAATTACCCCATTACCCCCCCCTCAGGCACGCGCCTGTTTCAATCAATTTCTTAGATTCGACAGTGAGTAAAATCAACGATAAACATGATTCATCTGTTTCATAAACCTTCCCACACTGATATCAATATTCATTATGAATCAAAATCACCCATATCAACATGAATTGGCAGGATATAATAGGATATATACATTCAGTGAATAGCTAGTGACTGTCAATCTTTCAGACAAAAATTTCAATCAAGTACTCAATATCAAAAAACAGAGTGCAGTCAACAATGCATTATACTCTAATTGTTGTTGCTTGAACTGCTAGTTGCTACTTGTGAAAGCTCCACTTGCTTGGCATTCACTATCACTCCAGGTAGTATTGAGTGCTGCTCTGTATGATATCTGGAGAACTTGGCAGTCTTGAAGGTTTGATATAGATAGATCCGGCTCGAAGGACCAATATGTTCGATGCTTGATAGATAGTGGACTGAATTTGAATGATTATATGATGATATTGAAGTTTAATATGCGAATTGTAATTAATCTTTCTGATATTATTACCTTCATTGAGAAATATTTTGTTTCAACAACACGCCGTCATGTTAAAAACGAATGAAGATCTCTCATACTATCTAGGGTAATACAAGTCTCAAACTCTAATAATTTATAAGGAATCATTTCATGTTCCGATTTATGTATTTACTATCGCCATCTACAGCAACAAGAATTTATGTGGAATGTGAATGACGAATGAGAATTTTTCATGTTGAATAATTTTAGTAGATGAAGTGACTTTACTGTAATACAGCTCCATATCAATATTTTCATGAATGTATTACGTATGAATGAATCAACCTGGTAATGAAATATATTCCGCTTCACAAAGTTCGATTATGGGAATCCATTAAAACTTTGACTTGCTTCTACTCTTGAAATATTCTTTGTATTGGTAAATAGTCACATAGATGACACGATAGTATGCTTCAGAGAAACTATTAGACAATCAGAACCTTTCCATCAAAATATCAATAATACGCATATTAGAAAAAAATTCACCATGGAAATATAAACAAAAAAGTCAATCATTTTCTTAGATTCGACAGTGAGCAAAGTCAACGATGAACATGATTCACTAACCCATATCAATATGAAATGGCAGCATCTAATGTCATGTAGACAATGTGTATGCTTTCCGGAATAGAGGATTAACCATCTCAATAATGAATGATTCTTTCTTGTTTAACTGGGAGTGATTGTGTGCATTCAAATAATAGTGATATTATGAACCAATTTTGTATATATATATTCGATTAGTTTATAGGCGGTTATCCATATTAAGTTTCCACCATTGGTTAATTCATTATTACTAGAGATTCGACGTTGTTTGAATCTGCCAACTTTTTCAAAGCTCTTCAAGATGAAAGAATGAAAAAAAATTGAGCATGGCGCTTCAAAGTTCAGGAAGAAAATCCAAAATTTCAGATGAAAATCTTTAATATTTTCTGTGTTGAATTAAGAAAATTTGCTAGGGGTTACCTTCCAGTAGAAAACGAGATAATTTGTTCATTGAAATAATCACTCAATTTGGATAAACCTGTATATAGCTATTGTATGTTACTATAGAATTAAAGATAAAAATGATTTCGATATTGAATATCTTGAAGAATTTACGTACATTGTGGCCATAGCTTCATTTCAATTAGATCTGATGGGTTGTTCTTGTATCAGAATCACTATCTCATTGATTGTTTGTGTCATCGACTTCATAGGTAACTTCTATTGGTGGATAATGAACTCCTTCCTTTCCATCTATGTTCTTTGATAATAACAATAATTTGATTGATAGTCATGTTGGTTTATCTTTGAAAGTTTTGAAAGTTACCTTCCAGAACTCCCGGATCTCTCGTACTTCTTCTTTCTTTCTATCACAATATCCTTTCCAAAATGATTGAATTTTTTTAGCGGCTACATCCTTTGACCAAATCAGTGATAATGGGTAGAAAGGTCTGGGACTGGAAAATTGAGAAAAATCAATCGCTGTTCCTAAACCTCCATGAACAAGTATCTGATATTTTGCATGATTTGATTAGGCATTGCAAAGTTGCATTAAATGAAATATAGGCAGGTAGTTATTCATCAGGGGCGCAACTAGCTCGGACATTTCGGGGGGGGGGAAGGGGCTACTGCCCCAGGTTATCAGGAGAATTGATTTAGTGAGTCTGAAATATCACAAGGAACTACCACAGAACAATAATTTTGATGAACAAAAGATAGCTTGATATAATCAACAAACTAAAAATGGAATGATTCATTATTGAAACTAACCTAACTAACGTGAAACATTTATTTTTCTGTCTTTTGCTGCATGTCATTCCACTACATCATTGAGATCAATATACAAGGTGATTCTAAAATAGGTGGTCAAACTTTGGGAGTATATAGAGTGAGTGAAATAATTACGAAAACCTCGGTAACATTTTTTTCTGAAGTGCCCCCCAAGAAAGATACAGCCCCTCAAAGGGGGGCCTCGGAGAATGATTTTGTATTATTATCTCCAACACCTTGTATGATGAAAATCTAAAATTTTGTTTATCCACTAACTATTCAGTGCGGGTTCGAATGGAGTTAAATTCACCTCAAAATTAAATACAGGGGTGTGTCAAAACAGGGAGGTGGGGGGTAAAAATATCCCCAACTTTTTTGTTCATCGCAATTTAAGTTTTTTTACATGAAATTATGAAATCTCAGGGCTATTAACATAGAAAAGGATCTCTTGTTGGATCTCGATAAACTGAACCATTAGCGAATAAAATTTATTTTTCCAAGATTTCATTTAAATTGCAATTTTGGTATGCACTTAAGTTTAATTATCTAGTTCAAATCTTGCAACTGAATTTTCACCTACTTCTAATCGTCTGATCAACTTGGAATCTGGCAGATGACAGTTGACAACGCGTTATGGACTTTTTGATAGAAAAAAATATGGCAGCTCCAATGTGGCTGACCAGATTTGTGATTATGGTTCGATTCGATTCAAATTTGTTTTTTAAGGGTTTTTGGGGTTTGGAAATTTTGAATTCATTGTCGGAATTGATGAATTAACAATAGACGACGAGTTTCGTGATTATGGTCTGATCCTATTGAAAATAATAAAATGAAAAATATTGTTAAAAACAAGCTTTTCTTAAATTTTATTCGCCAATAGTTAATTTTATCGAGATGCAACAAGAGCACCTTTTTCATGTAAATACCTCTGAGATTTCATAATTTCATGTCAAAAAACTGAAATTGCGATGAACAAAAAAGTTAGGGTTATTTTTACCCGCTACCTCCCTATTTTGAGACACCCCTGTATTTTATTTTGAGGTGATTTCAACCCCATTCGAACCGGCACTGAATAGTAAGCGGATAGACAAAATTTCAGATTTTCATTATACAAGGTGTTGGAGATAATAATACTAAATCATTCTCAGAGGCCCCCCTTTGAGGGGCTGTATCTTTCTTGGGGGTCACTTCGGAAAAAAATGTTACAGAGGTTTTCGTGATTATTTCACCCACTCTATATGCTCCAAAAATTTGACCACCTATTTTAGAATCACCTTGTATATATGTCTTTTTCTATAGATAATAGACCAAGCGATGATAATCTTTCTTGGCCCATTGAAATTCGTAACCAATTCAAAATCATCCTCATTATGGAGAATGACCATTCACACGTTTCAGAAGATACTGGCAATGTTATTGCTACTTGAAAAAGCACATAAAGATGGAAATACTCCTAAGCTGAGCTCATTTTTGTTTGCTGAACTATTTTCCAGAACTGTCATTCCAGCCGAAACTTCACTCCACTAGTTGACCCGTCAGGCTGATCGAATTAACAATAGTTATGGGTTCGTTATGTTTTCAGAAGCATTATCAGGCAACCAGTGAAACTTAAAACTTGGAATTAAATTCAGGAATTATATACAAATAAAAGGTTAATTAAGAACTCGGGTAGATATGTAGATATCGTTAGTTAATGATTTATTGATTTATTCTGGGGGGCTAATTGCGAGCTGAGGGGGCTTAGCTCCCCGCTAGCCCCCTCCTAATTGCGCCACTGTTACTCATGAAACGATGATAGTTGTTGGACAAGTACCTGTTCTCCAGGAAATCCACAACCCATTGTACATCGAATATGTATGTCCAATTTGATTTTCGCTCTGGATGAAGAGGATTCATGTTGTACAAATATTCACTGAGGAAATCTAATCCATTCAAAGTACTTCTTGGTTTCTGAAATATTTTCGATATATAATTATTTCAAGGGGTGTCAAAATATATCATGATGATTCGATAAATAGATAACCATCAACACTAAAAAAAAAAGAAGATGGTAGTTATTACCAAACGTTTAGTAAAATAGGCACCAGTCACAACTTAAATCAAATGATACCACCACAACATTATATAATACTATACTATATCAAATATCACCACTACAAAATAGTATAATATAATACTCATAGTTTAGTATAGTACAACTTTGTAGTGGTATTATTTGATGAATGTAGTGACTGGCGCCTATTCCACTAAACTGTTGGTATTCACTACCGACTGTTCCTCTGAGTGAATAGACAGCTAAATAAGACAAGAATTCCGAAATCATATAGCTGCAGGTTACTCAACTTCACCAGGAGAATGTTGTCTGAGGATTTAGTGGATCAAAAACGGTAGAACTGTGGTAGTAAATGATCTCATCTTCAAGATCAAGATATTCATGTAAAGAATCAGAAGGTAATTCTTCGGCTTATTCTAGGACTGGAAGTTTCTATGAACACAAAAGTCCTAATTTGATTCGTTTTCAAGATACTGAGTCTGAAGTTGAAAAAAATAATGAGTTTCATTCAATGAGGCTTTAGATTAATGACTCCCCCGAGGCTAACATTATTCATTGTCCACTTGATCGCGCTACTATAACGTAAAATCAGAGTTGGTAGAACTGATAAATATACTCCTGCTATTCGTAACATTTGTCCTCTTCCTACGATATCTTCTTCTCCGTCAATGTAAGAATTGGTAGTGAAGTGAAGGGTAAAAAAACAACGTTAATCTGCTCGAGTAGTTCCATAACTTGAGTATTTCTATTTGTTCAAATATTCTCCATATTTTTTTCAAAATATCTTGATTGATTGATTGATTGTCTTTATTACCCCAAGAAACATTTCTGTTTTCAATAGGGATACATGAATGCATAAAAAATATAATAAAGGGTTAATGAATGAAATCCACTCAGTGGAAACAAATTAATATTGTTTCTTGAGATGAAAGTTATAACATTCCATTTCTGAGTAATCAAATTATGCCACATATTTTTCATTCAAATTGTCCTGAGCAAGTATTTTTTGAGATTGAATTTAAACCTTCTTGTATCATGTATATTTTTCAACCCATTTGGTAATGCATTATATGAAGTTATTCCATTGTGAAATACAGATTGTTTGCCAATGTTTGACTCGCATGAATGCATTTGCTATCAAGTAATTCAATTGTCTAGTCCCATAACTATGCACTATATTGGCTTCATCGAAAGCTAAATTCGATATTTTCAATTTATTCCTGGCAAAATGAATGAAACATCATATTCATGTAGATGAAAAATTCATTCGATTTGTTTTGTAATTTTATTAGTGATTTCAGGCATGGAATATTTGTACTCCCCCAAATAGAAATTAAATATTTTAAATTTGAATAAATGAGACAAAAGTAAATGGGTAAATTTCAAGTATTATATGGGAATGATATTTCGGATCTTGAATGAAATGCCTATGATCGGATTTATTTTACTTTTCAAATGATCTATATGTTTAGTCCATAATAATGTTTGATTAATATAGAGACCTGAAAATTTTGTCACGTCTGTATATTCAATCAATCTATTGTTGAAAGGTATAGGATCATTCGAAATACTAACTCATCTCTCGGAGATATACATATATGAAGATTTGTTATAATTCAGAGTCAACTTATGAATCTCCATCCAAGATGGATATGTTTTACAAATCACTTTTGATTCCCGTTCGATATCATTTAATTATTTCGATATATAAATTAATGTCTCATCATCCGCAAATAATTAAAAATTCCCTAAGTTCAGAGTTGATATCGAATTGATATAAATAGAAAATAATATTGGCCCCAGAGCTGATTCTTGCGGTACTCCACATGTGACATTCTTTAGTGAGCCACAAGTATAATTCACCTCAACATACTGCTTTCTATTTGTGAAGTAATTTGTGAACCAATCATGAATTCTTCCTCTGATACCGTCTAAATATAATGTATCTAGTAAAATGGTAAGATCTACAGTGTCAAATGCTTTACATAGGTCCAAGGACGAGAAGCCACATTTTTGGTAAAGCAGGCCACATCCTTCAGGGCTATCTGGCAAAATTTAGGAATATTTGAATTTGACATCGACCTCACGTTTTGAGGTGGCCTTCCACACCAGCATTTTGTTGCTAGCTTTTCGCGGTGAGACAATCAGGTTTCTCCAAATTTAGCTGCCGCTTTCTCAAGGTCATGCTGCTCGAAGTTGGTCCAAGTTTTACTTTTCAGCGGCAAATAGCTTTACATCTTTGTCTAATTTGCTGGTATGCTATTTTTGAAAATATCTGAGTGGAAGTCTGTCGAAGGTATTCTAAATCTGACAGCAGTACCTATATTATTGGTATAATATCTCAGGTATAATAATATCAATGATATAATGGAAAGAGTTCAATTCGCTGTAAATGTTGGACTTGCGACATTTTCAACAGATGCTGATACCATAAGTTTGTTAAGAGATGGTATGTAATGAATCAAAGTGGAAAATAAAATGGAAAATAGTATTGATTTGATCACACTTTCAGATGATGAATTCCTTATACAGTACATAATACATGCAGTTCGAGCTGGAATTGTAAAAATGTGGATGCTGCTGAAATAAATGTAGGAAGAATCTGTGATGAAACAGAGCTGCAGGAAGAGCAATATCATGAAGGGCATGAAGGGGTTCTTCAGGCTTCCTTTGTTACAGAGATCAAAATCTATCAAAGAAAAATTATGGAAAGGAATATTAACCATCATGAAATTGATGTCAGTAGAAGCAGTAGCAAAAAAATGGAAAACTCTAAGGGATTACTATGTGAAGATAAGGAGTGGAATGAAAAAGAAGCCACCAAGTGGATCTGGGTGTTGTACCAAGACCTACAAGTTCAAACATAAAAACAACCTCAATTTCTTCATCTGCTAGCACCAGTAGTTGTAGTGACACTTTATCATCTACCAAAACATGATTGTATTTCTGGCAAAAAAAAAGTTCTTCTATTGAATCAATGAATGTACTTGAAAAAATTGAACAAATAGCAAAAGCACCCATTCGTATTGAGAGTAACACTAATATGAGTAATCTTTTTTAAATGTATGATAAATTGACATTCATCATACAAATAGCCAGGAAAGTAGTTGTTTCCTGTTGAATATTCAGAATTATATTATATGCATATCTTTATATAAAGGAGAATGCAAATTCTCTACTTCAGAAGATTTTGTTTTCAAATTCTCATCGTGTGTGTTCAATAGATGTAATGCAATATTCGTCGTGGCATATAGCCAGGAAAGTAGTTGTTTTCTGTTGAATAAACCGTGAGAGAATTGATATTTTCATCACATGTAGAATGCAAATTCTCAATGTATTTCTTTATATCCATTTTTTTGTGTTCATAAATATATCTGAGAATGTTCCTTTTCATGAGTAATCTTCATGGCACTGATCATTTCTGCAGTGGGCTTGCAGAAGATTTAAAAAAATTACCCAATCGTGCTAGATCAGAGCTGGAAATTAAAATGTTGAAGAAACTTCATGAATAGCTGAAAGAGGTTTTCGGTATAGGCTTCTACTTTAGATATTTGAGGACCAACTAATTCAAGCAAAACATCGAATGAATCAGGTGTCATTCTTGAATGGTTGAAGTATTTATTGACATCAGTGAGTCGCATCTCTGGTAATAAATTTTGATGGTCTCCATGCAGAAATCTTGCATGAACAGTATTACCCAGTCAACCACACATGTCTCAGCTCTATCACAAGAGAGATCAGTCAAAGAACTTTGTTTCATCACACCGTTCTGAAACATATGCACAACTTGCATCTAAAATGTAACATGCTACTGCTACAAATCAGTGTTTCATCACACGTTCTATCAATGTGATAAAATTGAGACACCCTAGGCGTCATCACACAAGAGATCAATCGAAGAACTTTGTTTCATCACACGTTCTATCAACGTGATAAAATTGAGGCATCCCAGGCGTCATCACAAAGCAGATCAATTAAAGAAATTGGTTTCATCACACGTTCTATCAACGTGATAAAATTGAGGCATCTCAGGCGTCATCACAAAGCAGATCAATTAAAGAACTTTGTTTCATCACACGTTCTATCAACGTGATAAAATTGAGGCATCCCAGGCGTCATCACAAAGCAGATCAATTAAAGAACTTTGTTTCATCACACGTTTAGACCGTTGGCCCATAACACTAGGGGTGTCGATTATCTACGAAGGTATGCCCTTCAAGAGACATGAAGATTGAGTTGGATTATCGGGAAAAAAGTGGTTAGTTGGATCGGTACCCGGTCGCCCATCTCCCTAATCAATCAACTCCCTGTTGAAAGTAATGTTGAAAATTGTATTATAGAAGAAGCTTTAAAATTCATTGGAATAGTCGCATCTCGCCAAATTAACCGGGCGCTAGCCGATTTGCATACGTCTAGGTCGGTCCCGAAGGGCGGCATACGGACCGCAAGTTACCGTTAACCGACATTTCTCTTAGATTATTTACGATGGTATGCCCTTTGGTTAATTCCTTCATTTCGACCCATGAATCAATGCCATAACATTTGCATACAGTTTGGGTGGGCGAATTTAGACATATTCGAAGGTCACTTTACATCATCGATTATATATATCAAGATTATATAATTTTGTATGCCATTCAATCAGGTGATAGATTCAGTTATACTGAATAAGAAAATAGCTTTTGCATACGAATGTATTGTGAGCATACGTCGATTTTGCTATAGGGAGTCTATTTTTTTCAGTTTTTTTAATATTAAAAAGTTGAAACTGGAAATTCCAGGATGATCGAGTGCCAAGGGCTCTCAGGGAGGTTTCGGGGTCACCAAGCTCGAATCTGGCACCTATACTACTAGTGCCGGGGGCCGGGGATGATAGAGGATGACTCTAGGGGGGATG